AAGGCACCAGTCGAAGCAGGGATCAGCGCTCGGGCACCTTTGGAGGCACCAAACAGGGGTACCGGCGGGACCTCCAAAGGTTCCAGTGCACAAAAAGACCTTTAAAGGTCCCAGAGCAGACGTTTTTCACCTCCAGAGGTCCCAAATTGGGAACTATAAAGGCACCACTAGTAAAGGGTCCGCGCGCAGCACCATTTAAGCCATAACAGTGTGGTACCTGGATTGAAACTATGTTGTCGGGTGGTAGCATGAATGTGTACACCGCAGATACATGGCAGAAAGTTCGGTTGACACCAGAAAGCTTGGTGGCTGTAACATTTCTAGAAATTCACTTCATTTCGCTCTCTTTTTTGCGTACACTCAACAAAGGGGCGGCACAATGGGAGCCTAAAGAAGAAAAGAAAAGCATGACTACCCCCCCCCCCCCCCCAACCCTGCTTTCTTGATTCAAGTGCAAGCTGACAATAGATGGAATTCACCATTGAAACACTGAAACAAGGCAGTTTTGTTTTTTGCATATGATTTTTCCCTTATTTGAAATAAGATATCTAGCTCGGATATCAGCTTGTTTCAAGTGAGCACTTGAAACAAGGGAAAATTTACTTGTAACAAGAAACGATTTTTCTGGGTGTACAAATCATTTTTTCTGTAGCTTGATGAAAGCTTGAAGACTCGTACCCGGGGACAATGGGACGGGTAACACATTTCGTGGAAATCTGGTATGTGGTACGCCACGTATCAACGTATGTGCAAGGTCTTAGACCAGGAGCGAAAACAAACCATCCGTCCCAAAGTGACAACTAGGCGCTTTTCTTTACCTAGAACAGGCACAGCCTTCTCGACGAGACGCGGAAAGTCAACGATGAAGGGCACCATTAACTGGTTCATCATCCCGAGTGCAACTATAGCAATCTCGTCAGCTAACGCAAAGAGCGCCAATCCAGCAGTGTCCGACCGGTCGTGAACGAAAATCGTTACAAAGCCCAGCGCGACCTGAAAAAGAGCAAATTAAAAGCATCACAAGATCTCAAGATAGCTAGTCGATTTACACTTCCAAGTTGCAACGAATGTCTGTGTGCATGTACATAACGTGTCAAAACTTATGTTGCTTATTGGGTGGTCCGGGGCTACGCTAGACCGGAAGAAGAAGAACAAAAATCAGCGGGCGCGGGGAGTAACGGGACAGGGTAGGGGCAGTACCCCGCTCCTCCCCGCACCCGACCGGCCCGACGATTTTCGTTTTTCTCCTTCCGGTCTAGTCGAGCCCCGGAGTATCCTATAGGTACATGTCAAAAAAGTACGCACATTTCAGTCTACATGGTATTGCTGCCCCTAACACCATGAATCTGCTGACTTTCTATTTGAATAGACCCTATAGGGTATTCCAATGGGGCGCGGAGCGGAAGCAAGAAGAACAACAAGCAGGCTCGCCCTTCCGCCAAACGAAGTTGCCAGCTCCGCTTCGCTCCACCGGAAACTCCGTTCGGCAGGGGCTCTACTTTGATGAATAAGCCCCTAGGGATAGGGAACCATACAAAAAAAATATTTTCAAAAAACCTAATTTTTGGGACCCGTTGTCTTTGTTTTTTTAACAAGCAGGCCCGCCCTTCCGCCAAACGAAGTTGCCAGCTTCGCTTCGCTGCGCCGGCAGCTCCGTTCGGCAGGGGCCGGGCCTGCTTGGCCCGCCGGCGCCGGTGGTTCTGTCACGCGATTTGCTGTAGAACATAATCAAATGATGTAACGGGCCTTCGGCCCGCAAAGCCCGTCGTCCTTAAAATTTGCCCCGTAGACACGAGAAAGGGATGTGACGGTGAAACACCGCGACCACAACCCACCCTTCTGCTTAGAGGGCTCTACTTTCACGAGTTACCCCTTAGGAGCTCATTAAAAAAAATATTTTTTTTAACTTTTTTGGCCTTCCCTGTTTTCTTTGATACCCCCTTTCAGCCCCTTAGGGTCGATTGCTAGGATTTGCCGTAGGCGTTTCGTTTTCTAGGAGTGAACCTTAAGATACCCTGAAAATTTGAAGTCTCTAGCACATCTCCTTCTAGTGGAACAGACAGACAGACAGACACACACACAGACACGAGGTCGTTTGCATAAGCCCGCTGGATAGCTTTTTCAAAGCAGAATGGCGGGCTAAAAACCCAACTTTTGAGCTAGAATCGACTAGAATGCTCATCTTCGAACTTGGCCTGTCTTCAGATGGTACAAAACGACCCTGAAAATCCCAGGTCGCTCGCTCAATAGACCTTTTCGCCAACAACGCGGCAACGCCGCAAGTAGAATTTTATACTTGAGATAAACCGTATTTTGAGTGTCTGTCAACCAAATTACTTATCACCACTGGATTCCTTGGAAAATTTACTAGAGACAAGTGTTTTTACTTTTTGAAAATTTTCCTCAATGACAATTTTACTACAGTGATTTGCGTTGTTGCCAAGTTCTGGGCGAAAAGGTCTATTGGGTGTTCCAGGCAATCTAAAACGGAAGTAGGAAAAGAACAAACTCACTGACCTTTCTGTTTTCGTAATGGCTCTGATTGGATGAGCTAATTATGTGCCACCGCGGCCTTTCAGGTATGAGAAAATGTCAGATCAGTTTCGAGCTCCCCTCTATTTGAGAGGTTAGGGTCGGACCAAACTTCTATGGTAGTTTCTCATACTGGGCGGACTGAAACAGATACATCAGTGAGTTTTTTCTTTTTCACTTCTGTTTTAGATGGCCTGGAACACCCTATTCGTTTCGAGTATTAGTGTGGACAGACTTCGGGAAAACGGTCAAAGATAGGTTGCAGGACACTTCATTGGGTTCCATAGCTCAGGATGAGATTAAAGTGACAAAATGGACTCACAGATAGGCAGGGGTGGAAAATCGGAATTAAATTATTGGTTTTACTCCTTTTTGTTCGGAACAAAACGTTTCATTCTTTCGGTTTCGTTTCGTTCGGAACGGAACAAAACCGACAATTTTTGCAATAGTTTCATTCGGAACGGAACTAAACCAAAAGAACAAAACTTTCGTTCGGAATTATTCATTTGGCGAGAATAAATTCACTCCTTATTGGCCACGTGATAAGAGGATCAAAACGTTTAGTTCCTGGTCACTTGCCGGTGAACAACAGCAAGGGAGGGGGGAGGGGGGGTCGGTATGACGTCACGATACTCTACCCTCTTCCAAACACACACACGCCTGCATGAACGCACGCACACACGCATACACGTGCGTGGGCAGATGCGTGCGTGTCGCGTGCGTGTGACGTGCGTGCGCAGATGCGTGTGTGTCGCGTGCGTGTCACATGCGTGCGCAGATGCGTGTCACTTGCGTGCGCAGGTGCGTGCGTGTCGCGTGCGTGTCACGTGCGTGCGAAGATAAGTGCGTGGTTTTTATGTTCTCCTTATGGGTAACTCGTCAAAGTAGAGCCCTTGGGGCGAAAATTTTGTCCGTTTCGCTCTAGCCCGTCGTCCCGTCGTCCTTAAAATTTGCGCCTCCTGCAGGCGTACACCCAGAGAAAAGTTTGCCCGATTTAGGCATAATTTGATGCAAGGATTGGCAACCGCACCAATGCGTTATGTCTCTAAAATAGTCTCCTTTGAATCCGGCATCCTATGCGAGATCCACGCATCAATGCGAGACCTGAGCATCGGTGTAATGCTTGCATTAAGGTTCGTATGCTTGGCCCACGCATAAGTGCTTAGATTGGCCGTAAGATGCTTAGCGGAAAACAAGCTTAACGTATGCGAGATCCACGCATCAGACGGTCGGTCCAAGCAATAATTTCTCTGGGTGTACGACAGCCGTATTAGTAACGCTTTAAGCGTTTGTAGTACGGCTCTTGCAGCCGCGAGCAAGCGTACGGTAGCTGTTTTGAAACGCGTGTCCGGGCGGGCGCGTACTCAGGCGTTTCGGAACGCTTGTATCAGCCGTGCGCAAGCGCTTTGGGGACGTGTGGACTGGCCGTGCCCAGGTGCTTGAAACAGACGTACTCAGGCGTTTAGAAATGCTTAAAATAGTATTGAATTGGATTGTTCAGAGTTTTGTTTCTACGTAGTTGGGACCGTGCTGCCTTTGGCTGCCTTTGGCCCTGACGAGCAGGCATGCGGGTGGCGAACAGTCGAGGGGTCCACCACTCCAAAAAAATTCGTACAGTGATTGCAATCAAAACTGATTGCAAATGATTGTGATGATTGCAAAAAGATTGAATGATTGTAAAATGATTGAAAGATTGTAAAATGGTTGAAAGATTGTAAAAAGATTGAATGATTGTAAAGTGATTGGAATTGATTCCAAATGGTTGGGATTGATTCAAAATGATTAGAATTGAGTTAAAAATGATTTAAAACGACTAAGGGCTTAACACATGTAACGCATTATTCAGGATTTGAATGTTTTAAGATGGTTGCAAGTGATGATTGAACGTAATCATTGATAGGAATATCAATTTTAAAATTTGGTTTCAATGACTGTTAATTATATTTAATTGATTCAAAATGATTCTTAATGCTTCATCGTCATTTAATGTGATTGACAAATGATTCAAAGTGATTAGAAAATGATTCAGAATGATTGTAAATGATTCAAAATGATTCAAAATGGTTCAAAATGATTGGAAAGATCGTACATGGAACGTGTACGGTTCGTACACGGGTCGGGTTTTACGGGTAAATCGGGCCATCATCGCCGCCGCAGGCCAAGCAGGCCCGGCCCCTGGCGAACGGAGTTGCCGGTGTCAACGAGACATAGTAATCCCAGTGTCAACGAGACATAGTACTCCCGGGCCCAGGGACCCCCCTGAGTACATAATCCCTAGGGCAGTTGTACTCCCCCTATAGGGTGGAGTACACCATCCCTAGGGCAGTTGTACTCCCCCACCTAAAGGGGTGAAGTACATTGACCCTCGAGGGACCATGTACTCCAGGGGGAGTACACCATACCTAGGGCAGTTGTACTCCCCTACCTCGAGGGGGTGGAGTACAACTGCCCTAGGAATTATGTACTCTGGGGCCAACCATCCCTGGAAATACTATGTCACGGTTACACTTTACGCAGATTGCTTCAAATTCAAGGAAAAATGACTTGTATTTCAAGCTCTCTCTTTGAAACACAAGACATCATTTTTACCATAGAGCCGTCGTCGTGCCGGTGTCTAGTGACCAGATGATAGGTACTGTCTCTTCAAGTCTCCGTTACTGTCGGCTGACTGGAAGTAGTGTGGGATCTGATTCTGATTCAGAACATGCTTTTTTGGATATTAATTACTCTGTCATTTTTCGATTTGAGGCCTTCTTGTACGTCTTAATGTGCAGCGTGGTAATTTTCGGCGTATTTTCGTCGAAAAAGCACCTCCAGCGCCCAAACGGTGAGAGATAGAGGCTTCCTCGCGAAATGTACAAAACTACTCCTGACACTGTTTCGCCGCTCAGACCGCCTTACCTGGATAAGAAACGCTGCCTTGATGTGCGGCAATGCAGTTAGCATATTCACCAGAGGATGCTGTACAAGCCGGCGACCGCGTAGTGAGAGGGTTGCAAGAGGACCGGGGGGTTGCCTCTGTTTCATAACGCAGCATACGTTATCTAAGAAAAAAAAAAAACAGGCCAAAATCACAAAGTAGTGAAAGGTGTGACGTTACAAGCCCTTACCCTCCTCCCCCTAGGGTCACATTCGGTCACGCTAGCACCCCCTCCCCCCTCCCTAAGGGTGCGTGGCTTAATTTGTGAACGGCGCCTAACATTATTACAGAATGTCGCTAATGAGCGACAAAAGCCGTAAGGGGAGAAGCGGCTAGGGCTAGGGGTCGCCTCCTATACTCGGCTTCAGGCCCGTTTTATGCGGCCTCTGTGCGAAAAGCTTGGGTCCGAGATAATTTATTTTAAGAGGAGTGGGTTAACCGACCAGGTGGTTGCCCGCCTCGTTGCCCGCTCTCAACTGGTAAAAGTCGTGGCAACCAAATTGCGTCAGATATAGGTGGCCAAAAGTAAGGAAAGGAAAAGCGTAAAAAAGCATATAGGGCAAAGGGGCACGTAATTCGTGAAATGGGTGTACAACTTTCATGACTTGAGTTTGAATTGGCTTAGTTGAATTGTTTTTGAATTGGTTCTAATTATTGCGATTTTATTTTGCTGAATTAGGGTGAATGGCCTTAAATTAGTTTGAATTGCCGTACAAAAAGGGGGCTTGTTTTTTAAGTGACCCAGGGAGGTTTTAAGCGCAAACGGAACATTTTTAGGCGAAAACATCAAATTTTCCGACTTTGAGCCAAAGTTGCGACCTCAGGACGTTGTTTGAAAGGACGTCGTGTAAACTGCGAAACGAACCCTTGATGATTAAAACTAAATTATGCATCCTAATGTTCATAAAGAAGTAAACATTTTCAGTTGTGCGGGATGTAACAGTGTTGTAAGTTAGCCTATGCTCTCAGCCCATGTATTGCGTCATGGCCCCTGCAGCATGAGATGGTATGCCGACCCGCAACACTGAACATAGAGGTGTTCGCTCTGA